CTGCAATATCCTGGAGTCATTCCCTAAAACTGTTCAGAATTACTAGAGAAGATTTTTGACCTGTACTATCAGACCTTACATGCAGGAAGTCAGGCTAAATCACCATAGGGCCCAAAAGGTGGATATGGGAAGACACATATTGCCCTGGCATCTCGCTTAGAAAGCAACCAAGTGTCTTCAGGTCTGTTGTTGTCATCTGCATGAAAGCAATCTCTCCACTCTCCCCACCTAGTTTATATTTCTGGTGACCCAAATGCACATGGAAGAGAAATAATGTAAGAAAGAGGAGCATGGAAGATCTGGTGCCAAGAAATAGAATTGGTGACCTTGGTGTGGAGATGCCCAGAAGCACTGGAAATACGGAGCACCAGCACAAAACATAAGACAGTACTGGGAGACTGCAGGTAGAGAATAAAACAAAGGATGTGCTGATGGGGGAAAGGCAGATGATCTCAGGCAATGAAAAAATCCAAGTTTGCAATATTCTTAGCTTTCCAACATTTTCCTCCCTCCTTCACACTGATGTTTACTAAGAGTCCTTTATTATTGTCCAGGTGGCCTGGGCAATAAACATGGACACCAAGGGAGAAAAGAGGTTCAAGTTTACTGAACTTGTAATTCAGCATCTGGGCTGACAGCAGGCTCACATTATCAGTGTTCCTCTCATGCAGTTGGCTCACAAATAAAATGTTGGCATTGTTGCTGAACAAGCTGGTGAAATACTGGGCCCATAGTGCATTAAATAAAAAACTGACTTCAGTCTAGCAAAATTGGCATGGTACATGATTCATAAAGAGCTTTGATGGAACTTGCAGGTAGGCACATAAAACTGAAAGAACAAATGTTTCAATGCCTTCTTCTCATTTTATACCCACTTTAGGTTCATGGTTTTATCCAGATAAGTAAAAATTGTGCTGAAAGAACACCGGAAATAAAATTCTAGGAAAGGGTCTGCCTTTCTGAAATCAGACTACTCATCTAAGATGAGATACACATGAACATTTTCAAATTCTGGAATATGAAGGGGTGGTCTGGTGAAAACCCGACACTGAAAACTGAAAGTGCTTAAGCAAGCAGGATTTCTGGTCATAGGAAGTTAATGAACTGAGGAAGTCAACCAAAACCATATGCCTCTAAGTTGGACCAGAGCAACCATTTTTCATTCCAGTCTCTTTTGAGAAACATGACAGCAAATGCAAATTTGGAGTCAATACTTCACAGCAAGAGAGAGATTCTTTTAAATTATAAACAGAAGCAAAACTCTGCCATGGGACAATGACTGGCACCTAGTTCTCTTCCCAAATGGAGACATTTTGAAAATAGTGGAAAATGAGTTCCTGTCTTTCCAAGGTCACTTTACCTTGTGGTAACGAGCCACCAGTTTCCCTTCTGAGTCAAAGACAACATCTGTATTGTACTGATAGCGACCATCACTGGGGCAGTCAGGGTCACTGGAGTTACAGGATTTCTTGTCCCCGATGTTTGCAACCACATAGATGGAGTTATTCCTGGCCATGCAGCTGAGTCGTTCCTGCACTGGTGCTGGACCAAATCTAATGCATTTTAGGGAAGAAGAAAAAATAAAGACTCACAAAACCTATGCTGTCAGTGGTGTCCATTGCTGAAGTGCTTGAGGGCACACCAGCAGCACCTCCAATCTTGCAGCCATGGCAGGGCAGGCAGATACACCAGGTTGCTGCACTGCTTCCTGAGATTGCTTCCTGCACCTTGGGGTAGGTCCTGGAGCCCTCTCATTGGCATCTGCAGGGACATGCCTGCCAGTCCCCTTCAGCACTTGGAACATGCTCTGCAGTAAGCAGATAATCCTTGGGCTGGGAAAGGGCAGGACAGGAATCTCTGGGCAGAGGAAGACACTAATCTGGTGTCACACAGGAGAATATCTTAGTATCTGGCATAACAGCATCTGAGGACCATAGCCTTGGGCCCGTAACACACTAAGCAGAGTTGAGCTGTGGAATAGTGCAGATGCTATGGTCAAGGCAATTCATCTCCTCCCACAGACAGGAGCACACAGATCTCTAGCCATGGCATAAAGAGCAGTGGGCTATTAATTTCAACGTGACAGGCCATATGCCAGAATCTGGCACCACGCACCAGGCCTTAAAGAGAACAGCCATCCCACTCTGTAATGCAGCAATGCATATGGCTTTGCAAGATGTGCAAGGGCTGCACAAGGAGGACCATCATCGAGGAATAAGACATGCCAGACAGTGATGGCAAAAGCAGCTAAGGAAACCCCTGATTTAGAACAGTGAGGAGACACACAGATCACCTCCAAAAACCTGTGTCAAGAACGGAAATAAAGACCTGCTTAGACAGGCTGCCACCTCCCACTCTACATTCACTGAAAGACTGTATATTTTAGCTACTTATATCTCAGTAAGAAGTTACACATCCTGCACTTCTCCACATTGTGACCCTTCCTCTTGGAACTGTTGAGGAATCATATCCTCACAGACACAATATCATGCTCTAAGCTTCTCCTCATCAAGAAGGTGCAGAAAGCTGTGGTGGTGTGCTGGTTTGACCTGAAATAGAGTTAACTTTCTTCACAGAGGCTAGTATGGGGCTATGTTTGGGTTTTGTGCAGAGCACAGAGTTGATAATGCAGAGATGTTTTTGTTATTGCTGAGCAGAGCTCACACAGAGTCAAGGCCTTTGCTGTTTCCCGTACTGCCACACTGGCAAGGAAGTTGGGGATGCATGGGAGATTGGGAGGAGACACAGCTGGGACAGGTGACCCAAACTGACCAAAGGGTTATTCCATACCATATGACATCATGCTCAGTATATAAAGTGGGAGGGAGAAGGAGGAAGGGGGAACATCTGGAGTGATGGCGTCTGTCTTCCCAAGGAACCGTTACGCGTGATGGGGCCCTGCTCTCCTGGAGATGGCTAAACACCTCCTGTCTTCGGGAAGCATTATACATTTTATCATGTAATTTACCTTGATGTGCAATTTTAATTGAAACTTATACTCATGTCAAAAGCATAAGCAGTTCTTCAGCATTTAGTGGGAGCTGCCCATGAGTTCATGTGACACTAGTTTGAAACCACATAAATCACTGCAGAA